GGCAGAAATTAATTTAAGTAGAGCAAGTCAGTTATGTATTAGACATTTGAAATAATACAATAAATAATATGAATTGAAAACAGGTCAAATTAGTACTAAGACCTTTTAAATTGGCTATCAGGTTGCTGTAGTACAATTAAAAGAACACTTCAACAGAGAAGAGTCGTCTGTAATTTTCCTTTAAAAACAAAAAGATTTGTAACTAGTTAGTACACCAAAAACAGACAAAAATCAGTCTTGAAAAAGCTAGCTGAACTAAACCACAAAATCTCCAACACAAACATATATGTGTAAACGTTGACAGCGAAAAACAACAAAGATTAAAATGTACACACTAATCACAGCAAAAAGTTCACAATAGACACGCAATTTTTATCAATAAAAAGAAAATAATGCTTTCGATTTAGGTAATTAGAAAAAAATAGTGAAGACACACATTCAAATTTTATTATTTACCATAATATGATTAATGTGTATAAAAAGCTTTTCTATCAAGAATACACCGAAAAGACAATTAAATCACTATTTTATTCTCATTGGTGCCAAACAGTATTTACCGTGAAGGATTAGTGTAATATATGCAAAGAAGAGTGTATTTATAAGCAGCTCGTGTTCTGTTTAGTTTCTACCTTATAATCAGATCATTTGTCCCGAATTTGTAACAGACATTTATCATAATTAATTTTATAATCAGATGTCTATAAATTACAATTAATTATTTGATATAAAAAGCGTTCACTGAAACAATTACAATTATACTAAATACAAGAAAAATCAAGTAGCCATTCTCTAAATCTCATTAAAAGTATAAATATTAATTAGTAACATGAAAACATATTATGACAAAAATGAAATTAAGAGTTTTTTAACACTCGTGCTTTACGGATTCAAACGAATCCTAAAACGCTATTCACAAAATGTACATCGTACTTTTGTGGACCTGTATCTGACTTCAGGTAGATTATATGAATGATTATTATTGAAATATACATATCGTCAATCCTCGTATACGATTATCTACTTGACTTGCGTTGGTGAATAACGGAATCAAATAAATCAAATACGAGAATGAATTTCATACAATCGTTGATCCAGACAAATGAGCGAAGAAACGAAGCGAAGAGATAAAAATGAAATGACGCGCGGTGGAGAAGACAAGTGAGCCAACTCCATTTAATCAAGCGTTAATCAATATTTATGGTCGAACAAAAATAAGTTACAGACATGTGATGAGTAGGATAAGAAATGAACACACATACGCTCATATAACAACAGTCAAAGTTGATAAGCGAATAATTGACAAGGTCAAAATGTGACTCAAGATAAATGAATAAATCGGCTTGTCCGGAAGCTAGAATAAGTTATGTGGGCTTAACATAGTAACCGACACTACAATACAAAATAAACTTTTGACATCAATTATGTTGATCAGTATGGAGAAGAGGTCATTTTAAACAGGATGTAATAAGAGAAACTAACGCAAATCGATGATTAAGTGCACATTTGCGTTAATATTGTTTCAAGTCCAATTGTTTTCTATCTGTTTGAACAAGTAAAACTGCCCAAATCTCTTAACAGAAGTAACTGGATGTGTGATCTACATATTTGGAAGTTGAATTTCTGAATAGCTAAATTATCACTCAACATTGTGACTGTGTCGAGTTAATTCATGAACTTCTTCCTCAAGTGGAAAACATAATCATTGAGATAAACTTCAGTGATTGAATATTAGAAGTATTTGTAAATCATCCATGGATTTTTAGACTAATAAAAATAAAAACTTATCAAGACGCTAAAAAAGTCTCTCTTTATTCTCAATTATGGAAACTTATTTACTGCAATTCAAGCCATAATAAATCAGATGCTTAACAAATGACCAGTATCAAATAATTTCCTCATAACTTATCAAATTTAAAAATATTTGTTATGATCGACGTAGGTTATCGACCAAAACATCTCACATCATAGATAAGTGAGAAGGAATTGGAAAGTACTTATTTAGAAAAGAAACTAGAGAGGTGCATACTGATCAACTGATTAAATGTTTAGCAGATTGTGAGGAAATTAAATATCAAGTGGTCATGGCAACATGGCCTTAAAACTGACTGACTGAAAATCAAAATACACTGTTTGTATGATAAGTAAAAGCAGTTCTAACTGTTCATCAAAAATCACTTTTTAATTTGTTAAGTAGATGTAGTGATAAACTGCAAAACACACTTCTCTAAAAAGATCATTAGTATAATTGCAATTAGAGAGATGAAATAAAGGTGATTATTACTACAGTCATACATTGAAGAGAGAAATGAATAAAGACTAGAGATCATGAAACAACATGTACACAATAATATTCATGGTAATGATATAATATAGAGGAATGATAAGCTAGTTTGAATTAATCAAATTTAAGAAAAGAATACAGACTTAAAACTCAAATTAAATTAATATGTGAGCATCAGTAAGATTTTATAAGAGATATAAGGGTTAGAAATGATTGTTTGATTATACTCATAGTTATCACAGTAGAGAAAAACTTATCACGTTGTCGTTCTGTTAACAAAAGTAAAGTCTGAAGCGTTTGATAGCCACTGCTTCCACAAAACGGTGTAAGATATTTTTTATTATCTCGTAAATCTTTTGAATACATAACTACCTATTATCCACCAGGTGACTCACGAGCGGGTTTGCGAAGACATTAGTGTCATTTAGACATAGGTTCAGAAAAATTAGTAGAAGCCCTTTCCTTTATCCTTTCTGCATACATGCTGCCACAAGTACATCTATATATATGCATGAAATTGAAGGTGAGTTCGGGAAGGTAATGAACTACCTTCGAAAGGCTTAACTAAAACCCGGTGTTATGTACTGAAATCAGTTGAGCTACAGGACAGCCTATAAAGAAGATGCATTTTTTTGTTAGACTTAATAACCTATCCGATTGAAATTCAAACTGAAATAAATTCTAGTTCTTAGTGGATGGTCTAAAGATAAAAAAGAATAGTTAAAGTAACATAAGCACACAGAAAATCTATACATAAATATATAAAAATTAAGAAAGAAACAAGTAACCCAATAGTAATTAATTTATCTGACTAAATGAATAACACCAATGGTAGCTGAAATAAACACATGAAAAAATACAAGTTAATTTATGCAAAAAAATAATAAAGAAATGCTTAAATTACAGTAGATATATATTATTGAAATACAAGGTGATTAAGAGTTTACATCTTGGTTTACAATTAAGTAACTTTTAGTTCTACCACTAGAACATTGATGAAAATTATCTTAAATATTAAAAGGGAATTCAATCATTGAGAAAATCTTGATTACCCTCCCTTAAAATAGAATCCATTTCAACTAGAATTTACTTCAGCCATCCATAGGTAAAATACCATCTGGCATATATTTATATCAGTCTAAATTATTAAATACACCACTTGGAAGCAGATTATAAATAAATTTATGGATATACATTATGTTAGTTAGTTTACATAGTGTGTTCGGAATAATACACAAAAATAGGATGAGTGTTTATCTAAAGACAACTATCATTTACTCATGTAGGTAGAATGAGATTGGAAAATATATCGTTAAAACTACGGCAAAGAAACCCTCTCTTATATACAATTACAATCAATTACTCAAGTGTTTTCGTAGTGATGTGCTAATATTCATTTTGATGGACTTTTCTCATTATATACATATCTAGAATGCTAATCTCACTCGTTAATTTGTTAATCAATTTATATTTTAGTAATGGGAAGAGACCGTAGAATAAAGATAAAAATATATTCTATTTTATAAAAACAGGCTTTGATTATTCGCACCTATCCACATCCGCATAGACAAGACGTCCTCAAGAGAAAATCTCCGAACTTTCAAGATAGTGTGAGTAACTGTATAAATCACCAATATTCAAAATGTAATCAGTTTCTATACATAAATAACTACAATTTAATGTACATTATTTATGATTTAAAGGTCATTCATGAATAAACTGAAGTCTATTAGAAATTAATTTGAAGCCAGATCAACTGTTGTTGTAATTCTGGACTCCTCAGAAGTCCCATTTAATCCTATGATAACTCAAATGGATCCTGTTGATAGATAAATCGTTAACACAAATTCAAAAAAAATCCGGCTTAAAGCTTAAATAAATCGATTGCTCAGTTGAATTATCGTATATTTTTATAAAAAGTTTTGTTAAATAATCTCTGTCAAGGTTTTTGTCTTACAGATTTAAATATCACGGAGAATATATAATTATTATAGAGCGAAATAAAAAAGGAAATAAGGAAAGATACATTAGATTCAACGATATCAAGTCGAATATAATGCGATAAGATATAATATTTAGCGAAAAAATTATAAACAGGAAATCCTAATGAGATAGAATTTCGCAACTAGGCATTATGTTTAGTAAGAGCAAATCATAAAAACCCATGAAATATGCAAAGACATATAATCTATTAATAATTATTTCTTAAAGCAAGTCGATTTCATTTTCTTTCCTTATCAAGTCATCATAACAACAGTACTACAGGAAAAAAAACATCAACAGATTTGAAAGAAAAGTGATAAGAGAGGAAAGAGACTTGAAGATAAAAAAGGAATTGTGAAAAGATCAAGTATGTTATACGACAAAAATCACTTATGTTAGTTATTAATGTAGAATGAAGTATATGGGAACTGTATAAATAAATATTTTAGATAACTGTTATTAGTAATTGTAACGGTGCGTGTGTATGTTGATACCTGTCCCAGAAGGGATGTGAAGGAATATGGTTGAGAGAAAAAAAATAGAATTTATTGCCATAAAAGAAAAAAAAAGAAATCAACATATTGAGTTCTCGACTCGAATAAATTATTACCATCTTTGAATCATATAAAACCATGGTGAGTTACACGTGATCAATACATGTGTCAGTGTATAATTATACATGCAAAACTACACGACCGCACACAATACTTAAATTCTGTTGGACAAGAGGGGAATATCTGCATGTCCGTTTTCTAAATTAAAAATTTAAACACACCACACATATTTATAGGAAAATAAATTAGCAATTGGAAGTCATAACAGTTTTCTGTTTAAAATACAAAAAAACAAATATAATTACATAAGTGAAATCAGGATGTATTGATAGATAGGATACAACACATATTTACCACATTGAATACATAAAGATTATCTTATAAAGTATCCAAGATGGAATTCAATTGAGACATGTATATACATAATATTTATATATGCATATATATAGTTAGCGATCTAGGAAAAAAACTATAACACTAGTATAGAAAGATACAGAAGTGAAAAAAATTAAATAATGAACAATCAGTTGCCAGCAGAATCTTTTACAACAACCGCAACAATCAATGGAAACACTTATGACAGTTTATTAACTATGTCACAAAAGTATACAGAATTACTTAATTTGTAAGTCGAAATATTTTTTTAATTTTCACGTCTGAATTTTTTTATGTTGCGTAATAAGTCATAGTTCAGTTAATCAATCATGTTAGTTCAGAAACTAAACAATTTCAGACTTAATCTTACCACCATATATATATATATGATTGAACTATTTAATCGGACAGATAAAATATCCATTTTATGATGATCAATAGTTAATATAAGACAAAATATTGCATAATCTGAAAATGGTTATTTTTTTAAGCAATGGTTATATCATAAAAATATATCTATGAAATATTTAGTCGAAATCCTTAGTCTAAAACAAACACTACTTAGATTATCCATTATTTATTATCGATATCACCGTGTTTCCCATCGACTTTCTCTTTCACTGTAACAGGCAACCACCAATATTCACTATTAATGTTAGACTTCTATGGGATACAATAAAAATGTTTGTGGTACACAGAACAATAGAAAATAATTTATTAAAAACTTTCACACTGATCAAACAGTTTGATTATGTTTCTATTATTTACTTGTTCGTCTGTATCGTCAAAAATATTAGAGAGAACATTTGGAATTACGCATGGATAATATAAATATAAATCGCAGTAAAAATGTTACGATAGTTCCCTATAAACTGGTGAAAGCATACCACTTAACTTTACGTCATAAGCAAAATTAAATATGAAATAATTTACTTTTTTTATGATCAGGATACTTACGGCACTTATTAAAAATAGATTGTGTAACAAGTGTGTGTATTGTAATGGCTTATAATCAATCACTGTAAGGCTATATTAGTATTTTGATGATCATCTATATTTCAAGTGGACATTTTGAATTTACGTTAATTAAAAACTAAACAGAAGATAAAATTCTAAGTGTTTTTACATGGAAAAACAAATTCAAACAAAACTTCATGAAAATAATGGTCAACTCTTGTTTATTTGCTAAGATCTATGGGAGAAGAAAAACACTGAATGATGGCTTCGAAATAAAGTAACTTGATTGCCCAGATACGAAAATAAAGGCAGACAATAAACATTAAAATAAACGGCATAAAACAAAATTTTAAGAGGAAACCTAATGATTAAAAATTAGTTCTGCAAATTATACTGACTACAGAAAACATTTTCCTATTGCTGCAATGTGCAACTTGGGGAAGTCGGATATTTTTCCACTAGTTTACAATAAAAAAAATAAAGCATCCACGAATATATGTTTGATTACAGCTAAAGGAAATGATCTGACAATGATGACAATAAACTCAAAAAGCGGTCAGGCATCGTATTTTAGCTAAATATAATTGATTACCAGTCCCTAACCTGACTTTTTTTCTATCAATCAAATAATATTAACTTTAAAATAAATAGGACAGGAATTATTTATTCGTTGGTTTCGTGAAATTTAATAGAAAATGTATAGGTGTTGGATAAAATTAATAGAAATAGTGGTTAATGTGTATTTTTTCAAAAGTCAGGACATCCTAAAAGGATAAATCTTTCAAGGTATCTTATATTTAATCGACAATGGTTATTTGGAATCATACAAATGTATATTATGCTAACTTTACTATTCGATTATGCATAATGTGAAGATAAAAAAATAAGTATGCTAACTTCGATTAAAATTAGCTTTTACATAATGGATATCGATTATCTAATGGTCACCAAGCTATTTCTCATTATGAAAACTTTCTGACTTCAAAGAGAATATATATATATATATATATATATATATATATAAACATTTATATATTTGTGAAGCATGGAAAATTAAATATTAAGACAGTCAAAAGCTAGGTTTAAAACCATTTATCATTCGGAACACGTACGCAGAGTAATCTTTCATAGATATAATGTGCATAATGACAAACATAATAAGCGAAAAAAGGTAGTCGAAAAATATTTTCTTAGAAAAAACAAGATCAAACAGAAACATTTTTGCCCACTCATGGTAGCTCGAGAAACATCTCACAGCGGTTGTTACTTGTAAAATCGTGTGGAATTGTCTATTACATGTCAATTTGACTATATCTATAGCTTTTACAAATGTAATTGCACCAATTCAACTAAGTAGAAACCACAACTGAAAACACTAAAATAGGAATTTTCTACAAGAGATGGTATATTCAGTCTATTTATTTAAAAAAGCAAAGACACGGCCGGACAAAATAAAGTATACTGAATATAAAAAAAAACAAATTGTGACGAATTAAGTAAAAGTCGAATGTGTAATTTCTTTGAATCACCTACTTATTAAATGACTAATATTTAACATAGTTTAAATCACAAACCAGGGCATCATTGAAAACCTGGAAGTACAGGATGGCCGTTACATCCAAGTAAAGAGGTCTACGACAGTATACATCGACGACCACATATCCGGTAATCGGACCCAGAACATTTGGTCTGACGTGAAAACGCCTAAAATTTAGACTACTGAGCTGGCATCGAACATTTACATTAAAAACATGAAGCTTAAAAAACCTGACAACAAACTCACTAGTTCATACAACTATCGTTAATTCATGATGAATAGCTAATTAAAAAGAATAGTTTTTTCCACTTATGTTTTTGAAAGTGTTAGTGTTAAAAATGACAGAAGACGGTAGAAACTTAATCAATTTTATTTGATCATTCAAGTCTTCGATTTTTTATTCATTAGTTTATGGTAAATCACAGCAACTAGACATCAGGGGTGATAAAGAACAAAAACTCATAACGTGAAATAACAATCAAATCAGAATATTGAGCAATTATAAATACCACTAAATATTAAATCAAAAAATGGCAACACTAGGTGGTCTTACAAGATGTCTTAGAACAAATCAGTAGTATCGTGTTTTTGATGAATAACATTTGAAGTAATCATTCAGACATTAAAGCACTTGTCGTTCAATCACCATAACTATTCGTTTAAAACTTGACCCATTTATTTCAGTCTTTGCAGTTAGAAAATATCAGAAACACATATACCAAAAGGTGTATCTTAAATTCAGATACACCAAAGTTTGCTCTATTTTATACATATCGCTTTTTTCATTTAACGATCGAACTAGTATTTAACTTCTATGAAAACTAATTGATTTAATCAGTAAATCAATAGTTCAATAGAGACAAAAAACGAGATGAAAAATAAATATTTAAACGCACTTAATTGCGTATATCACTTAATTGAAGTAACATAAACACTTGATCTATTATTCCCTGCTACTCTTGCATGTTTCCTTCAACAATCCAATTTAACAACAGGTTATCACGATAAAACAAAGAGAAAAATAAACAATATTTTGGTACATTATTAATCGAATAAAGATAGAAAGAAACTTGTTTTTAAACAGAAATTCTTCAAATATTATATGTTTGTAGAAAAAATTTAAACAACTTTCACAATTGTCGTGTAAAATAGATAGAGAATAAAGGGAGAAAGACAGGAAGGAGTGAAGAAGGGTAAATAAATAAAATATCGATCGGTAAATCGTCAACATTTTACGACGTATGAATGTTAACACATCAATGAAAGAAATTTGTGAAGAAAAATTAATCTTCGAATTTTTCAAGATTTTCTACTGAAATAACCAACTGACCCAAGTTAGACAACGATTGAATACCAAGATTTCTAGATATCCTAGTACAAAGCAGCATCAACTGAAAAACTGTTGAAACCAAAAAAATTAAGATATATGGCATAACATTAACTGACTGAATTTGAATAATACAAGACGATGAATTGCGACTAAGTAGCTTATAAATACCAAACCTGCTAGGAAACCTGAAGGTTCTGGATTGATGCTTGTTGCGAAGTCACGGACATACCTAACAAGAAACAAAAAACCATTTAGTATCCCCTTATGTTAAATAACACTGTGTATTCTCAGTTTATGATGAATATTAATTTCAAATAGTAAATTGTTAGGGAGAATTTTAAAAAATATTAAGGTTATGAATAAAAAATATTTGAAAAACAAACACACCTTTTTCTACATTTTTCCTTCTTTACCATTGAAGTTAGGATGCAAAAAAACTGTATTAGTAAACTAATGAACAATTCCAAATTACGATTAAGCTAAATAAATAAATTTATCAGATATGAACATCCATAGAAGTCTGAAATAATTTTGAACCAGATAAGTGCATATTTTCTGAACAGATACAAATCACCTATGTATACAACTGGTAGTTCTTTTATAAAGTCACGCATACTCTATCTTATATAAGCCATCATAGAACGATAATGAATTGTCCTCAATGCAAATATCACCTTCATTGTAGTGCAGCAAAATAAAATGGATTTGAATACTCAAAGAATAAGGTGTTTTGAACGAAAGTTGAACGAATATCAATTTTAGCACAGAAATATCGACCTTGTAGAAATCTATTATAAAAATACGGTCTAAATATTGGAAATAAAAATAATCTTTTACTCATAATTTACATTAAATAAAGTGAGCTGAAGTTACGCGATAGTGGTAGTAACTAGCGAAATCATAAAAAAGAAACGTTAAAACAATCTTCATAGGATAACAATTTATCGAAGTGTTTTGAATAAATGACATGTATAAATGTAAAAGTCAAAAAGATAATTTTGAATATATGTTAGAAGTTTGGTGAAGTTTACTATTTATCTAAACACATAAACATTGGTGCAAGGAGGCACTATATATATATATACATATATATATATATATACCAAATCAGGTAGCTTTATTAGAGGACCACACTCCGAAACTTCGATCTACAAGTCTAGTCAACAAAGCAGTGGAGCAACGTTAGGAGATGCAGTACCATGGTAGCCGGTGGCCAACAATAGGTTCATATACCATTTGTTTCCTGAGAATCCTGTAGCCCATGTGCACGATTGATTTGGAATCAGGGTTTCACAACTCCTTTAGATGGATCCTCTATATACACCGAGCCGGTTAAAGCGTCGGACATTCGCTTCTCGTTCTCTCAATTTCGTAAACATCCTCTCCATGAGTAGGCACTGAGTAGGGCTTTCCTGACAGTGGCCAT